CTTCTATATAGTCCACTATCAGCTCCTTGGTCTTATTGGTGTTGAGGACCAAGTTATTGTCTCCACACCACGAAAGCAACTGGTCCAACCTCATCTCGGTAGGCAGATTCATCCCCCAATTGGAGAACTCAACTAGCACTATGTCAGGGCCATTCGCATGGGGAGAGAGTCTCTCCTTTAAGACTTGGGGACTTCAACTTCCAGAATTCCCCTGTTCTTCAGAACCGAGGAAGCTTCTTAGAGGAGAAGAAGCGAAACCTCTTCGAGGAAAAAAAAAAAAAGAACCAAAGTCCAGTTGCCTTTGGAAAAAGCTTCTACAGTAAGTCTATAGTTAGTCCTCAAATTACGCAACCAGAAATCATAATGGTCGTAAAACAGGTCAATCGTGTCTGATAGTTATAAACTGCCTTTGGAGTCGGAGATCAGTGGGGAAGAAGAATAGCTGGAGCCTGTTCCCAGTGTGCGCATGCACAGAGCTGCCAGAAGGGAACAGCTAAGGAACACAAGGCAGAAATGGGGCCAGGGCTGTCTGACAGTTATAAACTGCCTTTAGAGTTGGAGATCAGTGGGGAAGAAGAATAGCTGGAGCCTGTGCGCATGCACAGAGCTGCCAGAAGAAGGGAACAACTAAGGAACACGAGGCAGAGATGGGACCAGGGTCATCCGACAGTTATCAGCTGCCTTCGGAGTTGGAGATCAGTGGGGAAGAAGAACAGCTGGAGCCTGTTCCCAACGTGTGCATGCACAGAGCTGCCAGAAGAAGGGAACAGCTAAGGAACAAGGGCTGACTTGGGAGTAAAGCCACAGGTGGACGGTGAATGACCCCTCCCATAGGGAGTGAAGAGGAGTGAAAGAGTAGTGGGTTTTGCAGGAGACAATTACTTCATTCGGGGGAAGGTCCGTTCCTGACTTCTTGCCAAGTCATTGCTGCTATAGCGTGGCGTTTGGAAGCTATCGGCCTGGCAGCTCTCCAAGCCAGATAAAGGTCTGTAGTTGTGAACTATCTTGAAAGACTTGTTTGCCGGGACTTTGCTGGAGAGGAATTCCCTTTAACCCTAAATAAAAGGGGTTTTATCGGGACGAGGAGTCGGCTTCGTGCTTTCGGGGAAGCCTAAGTTAGAACACCGTCTGCCCACCCAGCCCCCAGCTTACTTGTAAAGCTGAAGAAATTCGTGGTGAGGGTTGACCGGATCCAGAGGTCCATAAATCATATGCACTGGAAGAGAGGAAGGTTGACACGAAGACCCGAGTGAAAACAAATGTCCTAAAATTCTCCCTCCCCCCCCCCCCCCCCCCCCCCCCCCCCCCCCCCCCCC